GATATTTTTTATTTACAAGGCGGCAAAACAACAAAATTGGCTATAGAGACGATTTCACAAATATACTTTTCTGAGCTGTAAATTTGTCATTGTCATCATTGCTATAGTAACATTGTCCCAGGCGCCTTATTTGACTTCTGCTAGCCAGATGCATAAAACCCATTTCAAGTGGATAATAAAAAGAAATATCTTATATTGTTTAACACCAACAGAAAGCGAATGCAATGACCAATTGGACGTCGAGCAGACCCGCCCTCGAGTACCAGGCTCGGGATCGCGCATCGAGAAACGTGGCCCAGATTATCAGCTCTTTGTCCAGCCATGACAGGCACGACCCCATCCATTCCATATACCAAGTCGACTATACCCCAAAAGCCGGAGCAGACAGATGGCTCGATCGACGGATTCGGCAGAATCTATCCTCAATTGCCAAGTCTGTAGGGCCTTCACATGCGGACAACGATGCCTTCTATCGTAATGTGGAAATGATGGCCTATCAGGACAGCCGGGACTCAGTATTCAACCTTACAGGCCTCCGTGAAGCGGATGAGATTTGAAATAATCATACAATTAAGAAGACACAAAGCATCTCAAGGAGCCATAACTCCTTTGATCTAGACACTCGTGTCAGGTCATACATGGTTTTCTATTAAAAGTATGATAAATAGGTCTGTGATTCAAGATCATTACAATCATTGTATACAATCATCCTTGACTTCTGGTTGAGAAGACACACCTCGAAATTAATGCAGTTTATAAGCTTTACCTTTTGACCTGAAGAAGTCGACTTCAAGTCTGACGAAGTTATTCATTTTCTGTTAGAGTTCGAAGTTATTTTAGCTGATTTAGTGCTTTTAGGATTAAGCCCTTCTGATGCCGCCGGCAAAGTTGTGCCGGGAGCATCCGCACAAGAGCATCAAAAAGTATTTTCTCAGAAATGGTTTGATTCCATTTTCACAACTAAGTCGTGATGTCGAGGGGGCCTAGAAGAGCATATCTCATTCGGTGTCCTTAGCCACTGAAATCCGGATGATTTCCAGCATCAGCTCATGGATTTGGTGCACTACCAGACGCTTCGCCTGTAGAATGTTCGGATTCGTCAGCCAGCCTTGTCATTCTAAGCACTCAGATACAAATTGACACGATTGCGAGTGATGCTCAACCTCATACCAATTTTCAGCTAATCGGTCGTGGTGCCTCTTCACTATCCTATATACTCCTATCTCGACCTTAACCAACTTTGCCACCAAAATGCAGGCCACATCATATCAGACGTCATACCAACAAAATAAGCTTTAGTCAGCATTACTTCTCGACCTTTTGCCATTCCTCTTTGTCACCATTTTGGTAGATCAGCCGGCAATAGTGAGGCGACGACTAGAAAGATAATTGACTGGCAGGCTAAAAGTGACTTTCAGCTATTCACGAGTGAACCCGTCTTCTGCTTTCCATGTGGCCTAAATTGAATTTCAATTCTGAAGGAAAAATTGTTCTGAATGGAATCATGAATTGGTCAGAATGGAAATCTAAGTAGAATCGCTTTGGAGTACTGAGATTTTGTAGATCCGAAGAGAATCTTGGTTTCGATGAATCGCCTGAGATAACATTTTTAGGAGGACCTTCATTCCGTATGAAAGTATATGAAGAAGAGATTCGTTGGTTGATCTTACCCGATGAGGACGGATGAATCTCGTTGTAATGCAGCCGTTTGGTTTGTATACGATATTCATGTTGATGCAGTCCACAAGACTTTCTCTCTCTTTTCGGATGAAAACGTGCTAATGATATCCATCATATGATGGACTAAAGCTCCGCAGTACAACGAGATTCATCCGTCCTCTTCTGGTGAGATCGACCAACGAATCTTTTCTTTATGCACTTTCATACGAAATGAAGGTCTCCCTCACAATACTGAGATTTTGTCGGAAAGACTTCGATTTCGTATGAAGTGCATAAAAAATAGATTCGAAGGTTAATCTCATCAGAAGACGACGACTGATGCCCGTTGTACTGTAGCCATTTGACACCATCTGTGAGGCATCTTCCCTCATTTTGGGCGAAATTGGCTGAGTTTTCGTTCCTCAAATGAAGGACATTATTAGAGCTAGAACTCATTATTGTAAAAGTCTCATGTTAAGACTGTGTCAAGAAAACTGTCCTACTATATCGTATATATTGTATAAATTGATGGCTATAAAACCAAAATGGATAGGCATAGATAGATATAGAACGGTTTGGCTAATTATCTTTGTAGATACGAAGAGAAACTTGGTTTCGATGAATCTCCTGAGATAACATTGTTAGGGGGAACTTCAT